AAATATTTCAAGAAATTAGATCAAATACAGAACACAGTATGGCGGAGTAGATTATTATCTTAGACAAATACTTTATTAGAATCGTTTTTATCAAGAAATAATTAATCACTAATTTTGTCATCTGTAAATATTTGCCCGTTTGTATTAAATTTCACTTTATTTATTGTTTACCATACCGGTTACTCAATTGTTTACTTAATAAAGAATGTCATCAAAGCCGATAAAAGGTGATTGATAACCCGGAGAGAGAATTAGCCTTCAAGTATTGATTCAACATTCTTACAGGTGTTACTTTTTTCAGATTGTTAGGTCAAATCTCCTGCTAGCTGATTTTTACAACAGATTGAAATTCTCGATGACTGTAGGCATTTAGGTGGCTGTTATCTCGGATGCGTCGACAATGCCTTCATCAAATGAACATCCTGCATCTTATTTAATGGTACGTAGCAGTAGAATTCAGGACCTGCGGTGCTTTAAAAAAACCAATCAGGGAAGACTTAAAACAGCCTCAACGAATATGATAGAGAAGATTTGTAGCCCAGTTGGATGATTTTGATGTGGTTGTGCTCTCTAGGCTGGATAGTTAATTTGAGAAGCTTTCATTGCCACCTACAAGGCAACATCTTCAGTGCACATACTTCAATTTGTTGAAGTGAACTTTTAGATTTCTCCACGAGTTTATTAGTCATCTCTCCTGGTGGGTCACCTTGAACGTCGTGATTGGTTGTTTTTGTGTATTTTCACATCCTCTAGGCTACTTGTATTGGAACTGATTGTTTCTTGGAATTGAACTTTGACCCTCTGTGTGTGATGTTTCTTTCTTATCGGTTGATAATTTTTATCTATCTCGATGTGTCTATTGATTGACGATTCACTGGAATACCAGGCCAGACTGCTAATAACTCTCTGTCATTCTTGGTGTTTCTTCTGTCTAATACTTGAACTCTGGTTGTCCCAGTCGAATCGATGTCCGTGGTTGTCTGTATGCAGCGATGTCATATCTTTTGAAGGCTAGCTTATGTTCATGCATACGAAGACGAAGAGGACGTCCACTTCGGCCAATGTAGTCTTTTTCGCAGTTTTTACAACTTATTTAGTAGATGACTTTGGTTTCATCTATTTTCGTTGTTGAGTCTTTTGGTTAACATAGAGGCAGCCAGCTGAGTGGTGAAGTGATTTTGTTGGTTTGTGTGCGACATCAATTCCTAAATATTTGAGGACTTTTGCAGTGATTTCTGAGATGTCGTTTATATATGGTAGGGTGATTTTCTTTGTGTTTTCCTTGGGAGGCATTTGATTTGGTAGGTTGGCTTGGGGGTAGATGTCTTTTGATGAAATTCCGTGGATATCAATTCTTTTGAAAGATGTCCATTAGGTATCTTTTTTCAATTTTGTTTAAGGTGGGAGTGCTGCAGTGAGTCCTAGCCCTCTTAAATAGTGTTTATATAGAATTCCTTTTGTGTTGGATTGTTGCTATTGTAATTGAGTACTTGGTCTGTTTGAGTTGATTTTATAGAAACGTGAGTTTATAGAAACTCAGAGAAAACAACCGCATAAAAAAACTTCGACAAATATCAAGAAGTGGTTCGTGTGATTGAATAGGCAAAACTTCGGTGTGTGTGTGTGTGTGTGAATCGATACCGGGGTACAGTATAACTTCAAGAGGGACACGGTCACAGCCAGCTAACGAAATGCCACTCCTGGATTTTACTGCTAACTCCTAACAGTGAAATCTCATACAGTTAGGGTGTCGTGATATGATACAGACAATGTGTACCAACAGAATATTATTCTCATATATATATTCCCGCAGTTCAATTCGGCATTAATAACAGAATACGATATATCTATTTGAACATGCTATTTGATGTTAGTGTCGGAATACATTTCCGACAATTATATACTGAATTAACAAAAGAATACTATGTATATTATATTTGAACATTCTATTTCATGTTGTTTGATGTGAACTGAAATCACACGCTCATTGATTGGTTAACGAATATAAACTGTAGATGTATAAACAGAGGTTTGATTAATGAAAAGTATACATTGACTTCCATTTCTTGCCTTCTGTCGTTGCAAGGATACTGAATCATTTGATCTAACAAGAGTAATGAACTACTAGTATCGTTTTGACTAGATTGGCACTATCACTAATGTAAATTAGTCTGTGAATATGGTGCTGAATGAGAAGAAATGCTGCTACCTGCTGTTGATGAATGACTGACAGAAGACTATCATGAATATCTGCACTGCTTCACTGTGTGGTTCACTTTGATTTGATTCCAGATATTTTGATGAGTTAGTGGCTAAAAGTCATTGACTAGCGCGTCTCGTCCTTTCTGCTACTCGTCAACTGAGAGTATCTGTAATCTTGGGGAACATACTATTATTATTCCCTATGGTTCTGAAGGGAACACAAAGCTTCAACATTACATCTCCATTTTGTTCTGTTCTACGCAGTTCCCCGTTAGTTGACTGCACAATTGATATTAAGTCAATATCTCCTGCTCACATAACCTACTGGATGTCACTTTCGGACCCACGCCTAGCTCGTTGTTTACCATTCGGGTTCCAATTCCAGTCGAGGACCTCAGTGGTCTTCTTGGAGCATTTATGATTCATCTTTGTGTCCTTCAACTTATTTATCTCGTAGTAAGTTCCTGAGCGATTCGTCTTCAGAGTTCCACGTTGCTTTTCCTTTCTGACCATCTAATCTTCAGTTTCTAATGATTTTCGCTGTCAATAAAAGTAAAAGCAACCTGTTGGAGATGAGTTTTGTGACGCACTTATCAAATCTCTGAAGCAGATAGAAGTACTGAGAAATACACTATTGTATCTAAAAACCAAACTAACATTATACAGAATTAATAAAGAGTATGCACTGTGATGGACTGGATTATGCGTCAGGCTGTATGGAGGGAGGAGACAAGAATAAACTGGATGACCAATAAGAAGAATCTAGAAGACCTGGATTACGCGCATGGATGGTATATGTTTAACGTCGTACAAATCTAAGATTTACAGGCGAAAAGCAACGAAATTGGTGAAGAAGCAGGCAGCTGAGACAGGACTTCAGGTGAACAAAGAGGAAATGGAATAAAATGAAATAATCAACTAACCGACAATAACCAGCACCAATCACTATCAACGGGAAAGACTTAACAGAGGTTATTTCCTTCACTTACCTCACTAGGAAGCATCGTTTCAATCATAGGTTGAATGGATAAAGTGTCAAAGTCAGTCAGAATCGGAAACGTAAGATACACCTTCATCAACTGGAAATCAGTTTGGAAGTGTTCTGCACTGTACTCAGCCAGCAGTAACAGCAAGATTCGGATCCTGTTTAACACCAATGTTAAGTAAGTTAGTCAGTCACGAAGAGCATTTCCAACGTCAGTGGCACATTTCCGCGTCAGTGGCACTCAAGGACGCTCGCCGACTATGTACATGGTCCGGGGTCGATCACCGGCCGACGCACTCCTTTACCACGCTAAGTCAGTAATGAAAGCTGGTGAAGAGGAAAGGTTGTGCATGAGGCCAGCAACCCCATCCTAAAAAAATAAACACTTCTACAAAAACTACACGCCTCTAGCTTGAAGTAGCCCTATGTCCCACTGGGACCGTGAAGGAATAAAAACAGGCCACTGAAGACTTTTATCAACAGTTATCCACTTCACTGGCTGGCTCTATATTGAAGATCAAATCGCCAGCTGACTGGTCGGAAAGAATTAGCTAGGAAAAACTCTTGCAACGAACGAACCAATCGGGAGCTGATTGCTCAAAAAACATGTAGGAGAAAATGGAGATGGACATACTTAGAGAAGGCACAATGCAGGCCATTGCTCGAGCGGAATCCCAATAGGTAACGACGAGTGGGTCGTCGGTGCAATATTGACATGGCGAGGAGGAAATAAGAGATTGTAGGCAACGGTGGACTCATCTGAATACGAGAGCAGAAAATAGAAGAGAGCGGCGATATATTGATGAACCCCTAACGTTCCACAACGGGCAACGAAGAAACAGGCATAAAATGGACTCACACAAAAAACTTGGAGGATCTGGACTTTGCCGAAGATATATGTCTGATTTCCCACAAACTGGAAGGTATGCAAGTGAAAAGCAACAGGCCGGCCAAAGAAGAAGCATCAAAGATAGGACTTCAAGTGAACATAGATAAAACAGAGGTTATGAAGACTCCTGGCCAACACCAACACCACCAACAACAACAGACGACAATCAGCCAGTATAAATGGGTGAAACCTGAAAGAAACAACCTCCTTTACCTAAATACATAACTGGGAAGCATCGTTTCAACTACAGGCGGAACTGACGAGATATCAAAGCCAGAATCTCAATTCTGTATGGAGGTCAACAGCACTACTCAACATCAAAAATAAGACCCGGATTTTCAACTCCAATGTGAAGTCAGTGCTACTCATAATACGAATCAGAGACTTGGCGCGTCATAAAGAGCACCTCGAACAAACTACACACCTTCATTAACATCTGTCTTTGCTCAATACTCAAGATCAAATGGCCAGAAAAAATCAGCAACAGGGAGGGATCTCTGGGAGCGAACTGACCAGGAACCGACTGTGCAAGAAATAAGCAGGGAGAAATGGAGATGGATTGGCCATACTCTGAGGAAACCATCAAGTCAGTGACATCACTAGACAAGCCATTGCTCAGGTGGAACCCGAAAGGGAAGCGGCGAGTTGGTCGTCGATGCAAGGGTGACTTGGAGGAGGTCATGTAAAGAGGATATGAAAGCATGTGGGCAGACTTGGAGCGGTGTGAAAAAGTTGGCAGAAAACAGAAGGCAATGGAGGTGTACAGCTGAAACCCTATGTTCCTCCAGGAATTAAAGGATACAATAATAATAATATGTTCCACCAGGAACCCAGTGGAATAATAATATAATACACTTTACCATTTAAAAATTAATCTTACATTTATATTCCATATTTATTTTCTCCTCTCCTCTTCTATAACAGAGAATACGAATTTGTTTCAAGACTAGAAAATGAAGTGCATAAAATTCCTACTTCAGGTGAAATTAAATTCTACATAACACTTAGCGAAATTGATGAAACCTGTTTGGATAGTTCAGAGTGTAAAAAATTGAAAAAGAAACTTAAAGAAGAAAAAGCCCGAGCATTTTCTACAGATATCAATTCACAAAGTCCTCGAGAAGCTTCATCAACGGTAAGTTCAGTCGATTAATTTTTTTTTGCTGCTGTGTGAGTGCAAGGCATTATGTGTAGGATCATTGATATAAGAATAGAACTTGAATAGCTTGGACACTTTTTAGAAGTGTAAATCTATCCTACCCTTTTGGTGTGGGGTTGTGCGTTGACGTATGCAGTCCAATTACTGAGATTTTCTTTTCTAAATAACTTATGCTTGTGGAGTCAGTCATTCTACACTAAGGTAAATTCTTATATTCTGATAATTTGACTACCCCGATCTACTAATTTAACCTATTTAGCTGACCTCCCAGTCATTGCATGGTTCCTTTAGCCTACACAGCTTGTCTTTCCTTAGTGACTTTGTAGGCTTAAATAACACGCTAATTCCCGATATAAGTATAAAACTTGGGCACTATGGTTGAGCGTAACTCCATTATGGATAAGATTTTATTTTAATAAATCACAAAGTAATATTAACTGCTACTCATAATCAAGTTACTCACACAACTTTTTCCTTCATTTATGTACATGTGTGGAATCGATTAGATATTGGAATAAAAATCAATATGAGATAATGTGCATTCAGAATTGATAATATGAGTGTTATTAATCAATTATAATCAGATGGGAAATAAGACGAGTGTTTTTTAAAGTTATAAAAAGTTACTTATAGAATAGTATAATGTACTTAAACTGAAAGAAAATTTTAACATTATTTATTATCCTCCTCTGATTTGACTTTTTTTTCCTTTCACTTTCCCCAGTGGAACATAGGACTTCAAGCTAGAAGGCTTGAAGTTTCTGTAGAAGTGTTTATTTTTACAGGATGGGGTTGCTAGCCTCACGTCCAACCTTTCCTCTTTACCAGAATTATTTCTGGCTCAGTGAGGTAAAGGAGTGCGTTGGTGGCCGGGGATCGAACCTCGGACCATGTGCATGGTCGGCGAGCGTCCTAACCCCTATGTCACCGACGCACTCTGATTTGACTGGCGGTAATAATATCTACCATATCTCCGGTATTTGCATTGAGTCATTTCTGTTGGATGTGTTGGGTGTAAACTCGATGAACAAGGATTCCGTAATCAACCTCTCCACCTACACCTGTATTACGTTTTAGAATTTTAACCCTCTTCCACCCTATTGTGTGGTTGTTTGTTAATGCGTGAAGTGCAATAGCTGAGCTTTTTTATAAATTACTTATCATTTTAGGGTCAACCATTCTTCCCTTAGCTAAATTCTTATGTTCTGATAATCTGACTGTCCCTGACTTACTAGTTTGACCTATGTAGTTGACTTAACTTACAGTCAGTCATTCCAAGGTATTTTATAAATTACATTGTTTTGTCTAATTGAGTCAACAGGGTGCTTTAACCTACAGAGCTTGTCTCTGATTGAGTTTTTAGGTTTGAATGCCACCCTAATTCCTGCTTTACTAAGAATCCTACGTAGTATCTCAGATGTCCCCTCTTTATATGGTATAACTGTGGATGACTTATATTCTCTCTTATTTATGTCATTATTACCAGTTTTACAATTATTTTTATCTTTCGTTTGGCCTCTTTTGATCTTCCTAATGAATTTTAAAGGATAGTTTTTCAACACCAACGCCTCTTCTATCTGTTTTAGTTCATCATTTAGGTCCTTTCTTGTGCTACTTAGTGCTACTGCTCGGTTTGTTAGACACTTAACTAAGCCTGCCTTAACAGTTAACGGATGAGATGAATTAAAGTCTAAATATCTATTAGCAGAATGCGTTGGTTTGTAATAATTACTAGTGTACTATTTTCGATGAATTCATCATCAGGCTGTACATTTATACATACATTATAGTGAATGAATGAATGAGTTAGTGTTATAAACGACATTAATGTTTAAATAACATCAAATCAATAATATTGATAAATTATACCTGAATCACATCAACATAGAATAAGCTGAATGTCAGAAACATTAAGAAAGATAATAGTACAAATTCATGAGTTAATAGCTTCTATTGAGGGCCAGGGCAATAGTAGGGGCTGAACCTGCTTCTTTTGGACACAGAGTGCTGGTTGTTTGAGGCGAATCGCAATAGCCTCTGCTGTTTGGAGCCTACGGTGCTTCAATGTTTTTGGTAATTTATTTGGCACTCGGCATAATATAGAGAAGGATTCATCTACGCTGGCTTTGTGGCCTGTTTGCACCAGATGTTCCAATATCGAGCTGTTAATAGTTTTCACTACTCCTTTACTTAGCCATAGTAGGAGATGTTCTTGAGCACGAAAAACCAAGTTCCTAGAGCAACGGCCAATATAACTGGCTCCACAAGCGCAGTTGAATTGTAAAAAAGAAGCCTCTTTATGTACGACTTCAATTCATGGGCGATATACCAAGCGAGATAGTTGCGAAGAAATTAAGAAAATCAGTTCAAAGAACTTTTACTACTGGCGAACTACACGTCTTATTCTCTACACGACCGATGGTGATTCCTCGACTGAAAGATGGAGTACCTAGACTAGCCACATCTAATTGTATCCATCAATTCAACTGCGCTTGTGGAGCCAGTTATATTGGCCGTTGCTCTAGGAACTTGGTTTTTCGTGCTCAAGAACATCTCCTACTATGGCTAAGTAAAGGAGTAGTGAAAACTATTAACAGCTCGATATTGGAACATCTGGTGCAACAGGCCACAAAGCCAGCGTAGATGAATCCTTCTCTACATTATGCCGGGTGCCAAATAAATTACCAAAACATCGAAGTACCGCAGGCTCCAAACAGCAGAGGCTATTGCGATTCGCCTCAAACAACCAGCACTCTGTGTCCAAAAGAAGCAGGTTCAGCCCCTACTATTGCCCTGGCCCTCAATAGAAGCTATTAACTCATGAATTTGTACTATTATCTTTCTTAATGTTTCTGACATTCAGCTTATTCTATGTTGATGTGATTCAGGTATAATTTATCAATATTATTGATTTGATGTTATTTAAACATTAATGTCGTTTATAACACTAACTCATTCATTCATTCACTATAATGTATGTATAAATGTTCATAAGTGGGGGTATTTCTAAAATCTACTATTGGTCTTACGGGGTAACCTGGCTTATGTATTTTAATAGTACCATACATTCTAGTAGCATTATTAGTTTTAGGCGGTAAATTAAAATTCCTGCTTTATTAAGAATCTTATATGTAGGGTTTCAGATGTCCCCTCCCTGATTATGTTATCATTTTCGGTTTCACCATTATTTTTATTTTGCTTTTGACCTTTTCTGACCGTCCGAATGAATTTTATAGGATAGTTATTGAACACCAACACCTCTTCTATCTGTTTTAGTTCATCATTTAGGTCCTTTCTTGTGCTACTTAGTGCTACTGCTCGGTTTGTTAGACACTTAACTAAGCCTGCCTTAACAGTTAACGGATGAGATGAATTAAAGTCTAAATATCTATTGGCAGAATGCTTTGGTTTTTTATAAACGCTAGTGTGCAGTTTACATTCCTTTGTTCTGAAGATCAACTAAATAGGTCAGACTAGTAGATCAAGGGTAGTCAGACTATCAGAACTGAATCTCTGTTCATAGAATCAACACCCAACACATGCAATAGGAATAACTCATCACTACTAGTACCAGAGATATGCAAAATATTACTCATTTATGCATGAGTAAAAACACAGTTTTTTTTGTTCAGCGAAGAAATTTCTTTTCAACGACTGTACTGTCTGTCATATTTATATTAATTGCTCATATTAATTTATTAATTGCTCAGTCAGTATACATATATATGTGATAAGAATAACGATAATTAAAATGTTATAAGGGGTATAGTTGAAGTGGATAAATTACAAAATTATTAAAAATTGTTTCATAAGTGAATTGATATCAAAAATGTCAAGTGTTGTCTAAAAATTTTTAAAAATTAGAAGTACGATTACGATAAGAATGAAGGTGTGAAGAGAAGTGGAATGAATTCAAGTTGTTAAATAAAATAAAATAAAACTGGAAAGAACATTACTATGGCCAAGGTAAAGAAAGGGGTTTGACAAAACACTTTTGAACACATAATTTAGGTTTCAGTTCATGTATAGCTAAAGCTTCGACTAGCTATGCATAAGTGAAGAAAACGTAAACTTTTGGAACGGTTCGATTTTGCCATGTAGATAACTTTGAAAGATGAATCACGTGGGGCTAAATGACCAGACTCTAACAGGTGATCACAAATAAACGACTTCTCAGTTCTACGTTCGCCTTTCATTAACCAAGTGTTCAGCTACACGTTTTCGGAGAGTACGCTTACAACGTCCAATATAATCAGCTGCACAAGAGCAGGTAAAAGAGTAAATGCACATAGATGTGGACAAAAGCGGTAATCTATCCTTGACGCGTTGCCTAATCATATTTCGGCTGGTAAAAACCAGTTGCAAGTCAGCTGCAGGATAAGTGCGTTTAATACATTCAGATAAACGATTTTTAATCAATTCCGAAATGGTGTCACTTTTGAATGCCAGACTCATAAACAGTTTTTTCTTTGGAACTGTGATTTATCTAGGGGTAGATTCTTTCTTGATGTTACGTTCAATAAATCTTGTAGGATAGCCATTGTTAAGGAGATTTGATTGAAGGTTATCTAGTTCCCTATAGAATCTGCTTAATATGACTATGAGTGACAATAAATTGTGCTGGAAACTTTGTCATCAGTAAAGATTACTGTATAACAACACTCTGAGACTTTATCAAATACATTTTCTCCGTGATGGAACTATATGTAGGATTTTGTATTCGAATTTATTTTCTCATTGCGAACTAATCAAACATATCAGATAACTGTCTTTTGTGCATTTCTAATTCCTCATTCAATTGATTATGCGTCACCACAGAAGAACATAACAGACCACTGAAGTATAAGGTCACATGCTTTTGACCGATGGCAGGAGTTTGTCTCTGAGGTAAACCGAACGACTTCAATTCCTCGAGATGAACAAGCGAAATCACAAGCTGATATCAGTTAGAGAACAACTGAAGACCAGAAAGTGCC